TGTGCTCACCTTGGTCTCTCCTTTCCCCTTGGCACACTCTTGACCCCATGGGGGGTAAGGAAATGCTGTCGAAAATTTCAAAAAAATAAATATTGTTTCTTCTCTTTACATATTTTACTTTTTTCTTTACGTATTTTCATTATTTATTTATTTCGTTATTTATTTTAATTTTTCTCTCGAAATCTCGCTGTTTATCTATTTTTCTCCCGCCTTCCCCCCCCCCAATGCTTGCTATTTTATTTTCTTGATTAGGCCACCGACATCGTACCCTAACCACTCAAACTCTAGTTAGGGTTTTCTTAGGGTTTTTATAGGGTTTAGGGTTCTTCACCCCCCCCCTATTTCCCCGTCCTCTTCGCGCACCCTTGACCCGAACCACTCCTCCCCCTTTGACGGCGCCCGCGCCAGCCTTGCTAGCGCCGTCCGCCGCTTTCTACCGCGGACTTCCCCCTACACCCTCCGCTCACGCGGACCTCTCCTGGCCCCCTCCAGTCCGGCCCGTCACCTCCTCATGGCTGACGGTGCGTCACACGGCGCCGACGCGACGACGACCGCGGCACAGGGCTCCACACCCGTGCCGACGGACCAGGGCCACCAGCCCCAGGGGGATCTGCACACCCTCCTCACCTCCCTCCTTGCGCCCATCCAGGCGCAACTCGCGACCCTCGCACCCTTACAGACGCAGGTGACGACCCTTGCCGCCGGCGTGCAGCAACTCCAGGATGCTGCGTGTCGCCCATCTCCTGGCTCCCAGTCCGGGTCCCCCGTCCTACGACAGGGTGGCCACGGTGGAGCTTCCTCCTCCGCTGCCCCCGACCCGGCCATCTTGGTGACCGTCCACGCCGCTAGCACGACGGCCGCCACGAGTCAGGTCCTCCCTCAGTCTACGGGCGCACCCGCCCAGACCCCGGTCACTACGGCCACGGTACCACAACCTGCTACCATGGCCGCAACTTTTCCGGGTGCCCCACTTCTCCCTCCTCTTCGCACGACAGCAGCGCCATGTGGCCCTCCCCCTTGTGGGATGCCTCTCGCCGCTCGTGCGTCTCCCCCTGCCACACCTCCCTCGACCTACGTTCGAGGTCTCGAGGACGAGATCGCCCAGCTGCGGACCGACCTCGCCCTCTCACGCCTTCAGCCACCCCCACCCTCGCAAGTGGCCGCGCCTTCTGGCGCACCCCCTTCTTCCTCTATTCTTCCTTCCATGCAGGCTCGCTTCCCTCGCCCTGCACCCTACCCATCCCCATCCTACCTCCTCCCCATTCCCTCGGTTGCTGCGACCTCTTCTACCGCAGCTCCCGTGCAGCCTGCCGTTGTTTCCCCCGTCGCTCCACCATGCGGCTCGGGCGCACAGCCAGCTGCGCCTCCTCCTCCAGGACCTGCGCCGACTTATTCAGCCGTAGCGCAGTCCCCTGCTTCCCGTTCTCCTCGCCGCCAAAACGGTGGCGCACCACTCGATCGCTTGACGAACATTGCCTTATATGACGGTACAGGCATACGCGTGTCTCGGTGGCTACAGTCTGCTACCCGCACGCTCCAGCTCATGGGTGCTGCACCCGACACGTGGGTGACTCACCTCTCCACGCGCCTGCGTGGCGGTTCTTCCGACGCCTGGGAGGATTTCTATGCTTACTCCGTTCGTGCGGGTCGGACTCCGACCTTCATGGATTTCCAGGCGTTCCTCGAGGATCGCTTCGGAGCCCGATATGACGTGACTGACGGCTTCGAGCGTGTCGTCACTACACGCTGGTCCGGCTCTGGTGGCGCTGCCGGCCTGGATCGCCACATCCAGGTCTTTTAGGACGCCCGCCTCATTTGTGACATGGCGTTCCTCCCCGAGGCGGCCCTTATCGATCGTTTCTTGGCTAGCATTCCGCTCGAGTACCGCTCCGAGCTATGGCGGTACGAGTTCACATCGGCCCCGCAGGCTTATGAGGCCGCCAGGGACCATCAACATATGTGGGCCCGTCTTCACCCCGGCTCCTCCTCCCAGCCACAACGTACTGGTTACGTCTCCTCCTCCTCTCACGGCACTTCCGAGCGTCGTTCGCCTTTCCGTGGTCGCCCCCGCCGTTCCACGCAACAGGGCCGCCACTTCTTGTGCCGCTTCAGCGCGCTCGAGTATGGTGAGCAGGATGCTGGTGCCCCGCTGTCACCAGAGGGTGACCATAGCGCCGACCTCGACCTCGGCGACGCAGTCCACCACCACCTGGAGGACCCTACTCTCCCTATGGCTGAGCGCCTTCAGCTCATCCTCTCCACCCTTTCCCGGGCACGCAGCCGCCCTAGTCACGCTGGCGCGTCGCCCCCCGAGGTCCCTCACCAGGACCTTCCTCAGGGCTTTGTCCCTCCTCGCGGTGTCCTTTCCGCTGAGGAGCGCGCAGCTATTTTGGGTCGACGTGGATGTTTGCGATGCCGTTAGGACGGTCATACCTCCTCGCGATGCCCTTACACCACCGCCCTCGACCGCCACTACGCCGACCTTTCCCGCCAACGTCGTGCTCAATCCCCCCCCGGCGCCTCGCATCCCCGCGGCGCCTCCTAGCCAGGGTGTAGTGTACACTTGCGCCCTCCTCAGTAGTCGGCTTCCCAACATCCTCGTCGTGGTTTGCCCCTCTCGCTACTGGAGTCGAGGCCTCGCAGGATCCGAAAGAGTGTACTCAGCCCTCTGTCGCAGTACCATCTGCGCCTCCGCAGACCACCGTCCCCCTTCCTTCCCCACCGCGACTACCGACGCGTCGAGCCATTCGCTCAGCCCGTTGCAGCGAGCAGCTTGCGACTCGCGAGGACGTTGTGTCCTCTCTTTTGGACTTGAGCATGCTCCAGGCTCGTCAGGAGCGACTCACCTTCCATGTCGCCGCCCTGCGTCGCCTTCTCGCCATCCTCTCTGACTGTGATCGCACCCTTCCGATCATCCCCGTACGGCTGGGGACCTCCACGAGGGTGTACTCTGCGCTGTGGGATTCCGGTTCTCAAGGCGACTTCATTCACCCACGTGTGGTGAAAGAAGCCCGCTTACCCACAACCGGGTCTCCGACTCCCATCTCTGTCACCCTAGGGGATGGCAGGACCCAGCGCTTCTTCAATCAGACGGTCACCGACCTCCCTTTCTTCCTCACTCTCGAGACGACTGATCGTCCGCCGACGTCTCGTCGCCACCACTCCTCTGCACATTTCGATGTGATGGAGACTGGGTACGACTTCATTCTCTACACTCCGTGGTCTCGTCGGTTCCGCAACACCGAGGCTGATTGGGCGACCAACACTCTCGTTCTCAAAACGAAGTGTGGACAGACGTATCGTGTACCTTTCATAGGTACCACTACGACACCACGCCCCGATCTTCCTCCCCCGGAGCCTTCCGTACCTACACCATCTCCTTCTATCACTGTCACTTCGCCTCGGCAGTTCGCCCACTTCATCGGACAGGACGACGTCACCTTCTTTATGGTGAACGTGACTGATCTCTTACACTATGATCCACCCTGTCCCGACGCCGAGCTCATCCCTCTGGAGCCAGATCCTTCTTCTATCTCCATGGCTCCCATCTCTACTTTCGTCCCTCTGCCGTCCGTCGCGTCCACCCCGCCGTCGAGCGTTGACGCTGACGCTGAGGAACAAGCACGATATACGGCTGACCTGGAGCCCGCAGTTCGTGACCTCATTCGAGAGTACCACGACGTTTTTCCATCGTCGTTCTCGTACGCTGACATCCCACCGATGCGCGACGTCGAGCACTCCATCCAGCTTGTGCCTGACTATCGTGTTCACCACCAGGCACCCTACAGACTTTCGATCCCCGAGGCCACCGAACTCAAGCGTCAGCTTGAGAAGTTCCTAGGAGTGGGTTTCATTAAACCCAACAACTCCCCGTGGGGTGCACCCATCCTCTTTGCTCGCAAAGCGGATGGAACTCTTTGTCTCTGCATCGACTACCGCGGTCTCAACCGCTATACGGTTAAGAACAGCCACCCCATGCCTCGTTCCGATGAGTTGTTCGACCGCCTAGCAGACAACCGCTTCTTTACGAAGATTGATCTTCGTAGCGGTTACCATCAGATCCGCGTCGCTGCAGCCGACCAACCGAAGACCGCGTTCCGATCGCGCTTCGGCCACTACGAGTTTACGGTGATGCCATTCGGCCTCACCAACGCACCCGCTACCTTCCAGAGGCCGATGAACGACATCTTCAGGGACATCCTAGAGCAGTACGTTCTCGTCTACCTCGACGATATCCTGGTCTACAGTCCTACCCTTGAGGAGCACCTCAAACACCTCCGCGACGTCCTTGACCACTTGCGCAGACATGGTTTCTACGCCATGTTGAGCAAGTGTCGCTTTGCCCAGCACAAAGTGGATTTCTTAGGACACTACGTGTCTGACCAGGGTCTCCACATGGACGACGCGAAGATCACTGCTATTGCAGAGTGGCCCGCTCCCACATCTGCCAAGCAGCTTCGCAGCTTCCTAGACCTGACCAGCTATTATAGTAACTTCATCCAGGGATACGCTAGGTATTCCTATGTCCTCACCTCCACCCTCCTCCGGAAGAACCCACCCTGGGCTTGGACACCCCTCCACGAGGATGTCTTTCGCGCCCTCAAGAAGGCGCTGACATGCGCACCGGTTCTTCACCTACCCGATTTTGATTGCCCTTTTATCCTTACCACCGATGCGTCAGACTTYGCTGTAGGAGCAGTGCTTTCCCAGGTCTTCCCTTCCTCTCCTGATTCCTCTCATCCTCGTATCCCTCACTTCCCACCACTTACCCCTACCACTTCTTCCCGACTGACGCCAACTCGTCCAGCCACTGACGAGCCTTCTATCGACTATTCCCCTACCATCGCCGAGGACGGCATTGTCGAGTCTCACTCAGGTGATTGTCCGATAGCCTTCTACTCCCGTCAGCTCCTGCCCCGCCGAGATAAACTACACTGCTGATGAACGTGAGGTTCTCGCAGTAGTTTATGCCGCTCGGCACTGGCGTCACTACCTGCACGGCGCACCGTTCACGGTGCGTACGGACAACTCTGTTGTCCAGGCTTTTCTGACAAAACCGAAGCTCACTCCTCGACAGGCTCGCGGGTGGCGCGACCTATCCGAGTTTTGTTTCACCACTGAGCACATCAAGGGTGAGACTAATCGGGTCACAGATGCCCTATCCCGACGCCCTGACCACGACCAGGAGCAGATCCAGCTCTCTTCCATCTCGGTCACCACCGTCCACCACTCGGTGATCGACAAGTTTCGCACTCAGTACCGCCACTGCCCCGATTATCGCGATATTCACGCGACCCTTCGGAGTGGCAAGACCGTCCCGAACTACTCTCTCGGGGACAACGGTCTTGTGTACTGGCACGGTTCACAGGGCACCAGAGAGCCCCGTATTTGTGTTCCCTCCACTGGACAACTACGTGTCCGAGCAGTAGCAGAGTTCCATGACCAGGCAGCCGCTGGTCATATGGGCTTCCACAAGACGTTGGCTCGTGTGAGCCGCCTGTATGTCTGGCCGAAGCGCAAGGACTTTGTGAAGGACTACGTCGCAGAGTGTCCCACCTGTCAGGAGGTGAACAATGTGAACCACCTTCCTTATGGTTTGCTCCAGCCTCTTCCCATCCCCGACTCATAGTGTCGTTGGTAGTCCATCTCGATAGACTTTATCGGTCCTCTTCGACCTCCGACCCCCCGCGGTCATGATGCTATCCTGGTCGTCGTCGACCGCTTCACGAACCGTGCACGCTTTGTTCCGTGCCGCTATGCCACCAGTGCACATGAGGTCACCGACATCGTGTTCGACCGAGTCGTGCGTGATCGCGGCTTACCTATGAGCATCATATCTGACCGTGACCCGCGCTTTACCAGTCGATTCTGGCGACGACTCCACGAGGTTTACGGCACCCAGCTCCACTTCTCCTCGTCTTACCATCCTCAGACTGATGCTCAGACCGAGATCACGAACAGAACTCTCGAAGATATCCTCCGAAAGATTGTTCGTGACGACCAGCAGTGGGATATCCATCTTGCCCACGCGGAGATAGCCTACAACCACGCCGTCTCGCCAGCCACAGGGATGTCGCCTTACTATTGCGACCTCGGCTATCACCCTCGTGTTCCCGCAGACTTCCTTCGACCGTCACAGATGCACCTCGATATGAGTTGTCCCTCGCTGGATGATTGGGTTGCACACATGACATCGATCATGAAGACCGCACATGAGCACATAGCCGCTTCCCAGACTCGCATGGCAGCACGTACGAACCGATCGAGGATGGATCATCAATTCAAAGTCGGTGATGATGTGCTTATCGACACCCGCCACTTACAGCCCGAAGCGGACACGCTTCGCAAGTTTCGGCGTCGCTTCTTTGACCCATGCCGAATTCTCCAGGCCGTCGGTTCTGATACGGCTTCTAGCCCGGTCAGCTTCCATGTGAAGCTGCCCGACTACCTATGCCAGGCTCATGTGCACGATGTCTACCACGTCTCGTTACTGCGTCCTTACCGCAGACCATCTGAGCGTTTCGCCGGACGACCATACGAGCGCCCTCCACCCATCATGGTGGACGGCCACGAGGGGTTCCTCGTTTCAGACATCATTGGTCGAGTCACCGACGACAACCCTCCCCACGACGAGTATCTGGTATGTTGGAAGGGTTACCCTGATGAGGAGGCCACCTGGGAGCCCCTCGAGCACTTGCAGCACGCTCGCATGTTGGTGCGTGCCTATGACCGTGCTCGTCGTGCTGGGTTCACTGCTCCTCCTCAGCCCACTGACCCTCCTCCTTCTCCTCCGGTTGAGGAGACGGCTGAAGTCGAGCCTGCTCCATCTGAGGCAGACCTTCAGCAGCAGCCGGATGCTTTTGAGCGTCCACAGCGCACTCGTCGTCGTCTTGCTCGATACGACGATTGACTCTGACTTACCTTCCCACGTCCTTGACTTCTCAGTACTTCATCCACTCCAGTTTTGCTACGTCAGCTCGTCAACGTTGCGGCTCTTCCTCGACGGCATTCCGGACTTCTCTTCGTGGACGTCATCGACAGCTTCATGGACTTCGTCACGATCAGCTCTGCGTCATCACGCTCTTACCACTTTACCATGTACAATACCCTTGTTGTGTCGCATGATGGTCTCCCTTTAGCCGGGTTCCTCTGAGTTGGGCTCTCCCTTGGTATATGCATAGGCATCGGGACCGTAGCGTTGCCCTGGCTTCCCATCTTACGGATCTAGCTCCGACTTCCCTCACTTTAGGAGTCATTTGCATGATTCCCTTACCCATCACCTTTCTACCCTTTGCCGACCCTCATGCCCTAGTTAGGCAGCCCCGCATGCTTCATCTAGGTGCGCCCAGTATACCAGGCTCCCTTGTTCCCTTGCAAGGTCGACCCTCCATAGCGGTCACCCTTTAGTCGAGCATTACCCGCCCTGATGGTCTATCTGTTAGGGTCATTGGTTCTGTTCGCTCCCAGTTCCTTACCCTCATTGAGCCTGATGACATGTGTTTCCCCTATCATTATGTGTGGATGCTCTTAGGAGTTTTCGACCCCTAGGCTGCATTCGCCACCCTCAGAGATCATCCCACCCTCTGGTTTGCGACACATTTCCCCTGCGACATATGATTGACTTGTTGTTGCTTTGTTGCTCTCAGACTGAGGCTACTGCCTGTGACATTTCTAGAATTTAGTTGTTCTGCTTTTGCTGTTCTTAGGACTTATACACTAGTCAGTTGTTCCCAGATTGAGGCTACTGCCTCCAACATTCTAGGATCTAGTTGTCACTACTTTCTGCTTTCCTAGGACATGTATGCTAGTTAGTTGCTTCTGCTTTCCTAGGACATGTATACTAGTTAGTTGCTTCTGCTTTCACTTAGGCTCGTAGCTCTGACATTGCTGTTTTGTGACATTTTCTATCCTAGGTTGCATCACATGAATTCAGCATGGAGCTTGCTCCGCATCCTAGACTACTCAGGTTTTCTTTTTCTTTGGTAGAGTTTTGCTCCTTGGCGGAGGAGTGTTTGCATCTAGGCGATCCATCACAGGCCGAGGATCGTGTAGCAGACCTCTGGTTGGCCTGTGAGACCAACCCCTTGGCCTGTTCTCACAGGTCTGTGTTCTATTCAGGGGCAGTCCAGTCCAGTCCAGGCCGGTACCTCTGTCGGTACCAGCCAGTCCAGTCTAGTCCAGTCAGTCCGCTGGGGTATACCCCAACAATTGTCTGTTTCAATTATTCATTCTACACTTGCACATTTTGGAGTACGTGCGTTGGAGTCTCGCGTGGGGAGCTGCGTTGTGCATCTTGCTCCCCCCTTCTTCGTCCATCTCCATCTCTATCACTGGTGGAGCACCACACCTGGTGGGTCCGCTACACCACTGTTGGCTTTACCCAACCTAAGGAATTACAAGAATATTTTAAAAGAATGATCCCAGCATCATCCCATTGGCGGCCACTCATCCTTTCTTTTGTCTCTCATAGATGGGTCATGCTTATCCCTCTTATGGGACTCTCTTCAGGTTATGACCCCCTGTCTAGGTCTCGTCAGGATTAACCCCCTACAGGTCTTTCATCATACAGCACATACTGCTAGAAATTTAACCTGGGTCTCCCACGAAACGCAAGGATCCTGACACTATACTACAACATGTGCCAACACCATCCCAGAGAGAAATCACACTTGTCCAGTCCGTCTAATTCTCACTCCAACTCAATTGTCATGCACGATTTATCTCCTACGTGTTTTGTAAATGCGTCAAGGAGTGGTGTAATCCATAAAAGATAACATCTCGACGTCAAGCCTCGCTTTAGACCCGAGCCTCACCACTCTCCCTCCGATCCCAGCGTCTTCGACCTTGTCAGTCTGCTGCATGTAGAGTAGAACTGCCCCACCTATCATGACCAGGGTTGACCAAAACCCTGACCGTGGAGGCAAGGTGACCATTCTTGGCAAAAGGTCGGGTGGTCACTCCTCCCTTTATGCCAATAACAGTCGCCTACTCTATAGGCACCGTCATAACAAGATCTAAAACACCTTCCTCCCTTTTTACGATAGTGTAGCCACCCCCCTCGAAAGGAGAGATGACGACATGCCACTATGGACCAGGAACAAAATTCCGGCGCAGGCCTCACTACCGCATACTGGGCTCCCTCACCACATGACAATTGACACAAAACCAAGTCATAGGGCAAGATAAATAATCGAATCATATGTCTGACGGATAATACGCAGGCATATGACGCAAGTACACATCATCTCCTTAGACTTGTACTTACAAAATCTCACATTCATAACCAGATACACAGAGTTGCACAATTATATCAGAATCTCATCAATACACGATAACAACTAAACATTAATTACAACAAAATGAACAAGAATGTGATTCACAGTAAATATCACAAATATTTCCGCTTGAACAAAAATTATTCACCCCTCACACAAAAAACTCATAGAAAGTCGAAATCTATAATAATTATTTAACAAAATCACATGGATTCAATCACCAATACTCATCAAACATTAGGAAAGAAATCAACAATAGTGACTGAAATTGCAAAACTCTAAAATAAAACCTTAGTCAACCTATGGTTGACATACTATCAAAACACTGTTAATATTCTCCACACCATACCAAATTTGGACAAGGTGAGTAAATGATCAAATTAATAACCGATGAAAACAGTGTGTGTGTGTGGTAAAAAAAAAAAGAAAACAGTGTAATTAACATGTAAGCGAAAATATAGCTTGTAGACTTATTAAAATCAATCTTTCACATTCCAGCCTTCCTCAAAATCTCACATGTTGGTCAAACTATAACCCCAAGTACTCATAGAATAGACCCTATCCTCAAAGTTAAACGAGTCTTGAAAGGTCTGACCGTAAATCATAAGCTTCGCAAGACCTATCAAGAAGAAAAGTACAGGGTCTAAGACGATCTTAACGGTTTCAACTTTGCCCACATGCGATCAATAAGAACCTCTCTAATAAATTTGTCTTCCTTCATAGCTGAAAAAACAGGCATGCTATTCCAGTCTATAAAAATTTCGTCCTCACGTTTCGTTACAATTCACTTTTCCACATCATGGTCCAGGTGCCTGCAATTTCTCATCCTATGACCCCACATACCACATTATTTGCACCTCAGGGGTTTATAATGCCCTGTGGTTTTCTTCATGTTAGCCCTCTGATTGGAACATTCACCTCGCTCTCGTGTCTTTAAACTCACATTCGAATGAGTCAGAATATTTTCTCGAGACTCTAGCTGACAATCCTTCAATGATTTAATATACCTGGCTCTGTTCTCTTCCAACAAGTCTCTTGACCCCCTTCAGCTAAGTTACGCGTAACCCTCGCAACCTTAGCAAACTTACGAGGTCGTTCCAATTGATCGGACTCATTCTGCTCCTCGCCACCTATTTGCACTAGCTTCTTTTTTCTTTTATCATTCTCCTGTTTGGGTGACTCCGTAAACTTGGCAATCATTAATCTCTTAAATTCAGCCCAAGTTTCGGAAACCCGTGTGAGAAGCCGACATCCGATTTTAACTCTTCGATGACAAAGTTCATAAAACAAAGGAACTTGTGATGTTCCTCCGAAAGCATCAATGATGCCAAGTTCTAAAAAGCATGTAAGAACTCGGCAACCTCGATACCTTTGAAGAGAGGACACATACAGTCGAATGCTCACTTCGCCATCGTTTTAGCCTGCAAGAGACACAAAATTTTATCAATAACCAAAACCTCGTAAAAACCCATACTCTTAATATTCTAATACCTTGAAATTCATAAGATTTATGTAATGCATTGACTAGATAAATCAATAAAAATATTACATTTATATCCAGTAATATATATAAATAATTCATACACCATGATAAAATCATTCAAAATTACTTACTTCATATCCATTGATGAAAATGATATCACCCGAGTGTCGTTCCACCAGGGACAACGGTAGTTAGCCGTTATCCCCGGCAACAGCGCCACCTGTCGAGCGCATCGCCCCCCTCGCGAGCGAGGGCCCTCCCGACCGCGTCACGCAGGAAAAACTTAGGCTTTCAACTTTTTAAAGACAACTCGGGGACGACATGGTAACCCACGTCGACCCTTCGCCGCTTCGGCCGAGTGCGCCAGCTGTACATCCCGCGGTCCCCTCGACAGGATAGGTTCTCACGAGGCACAACTTACCTTCTCTAAGGGGCTTTCACCACCCTTAGGGGCGTATCCCCGCCGAGCTACCGACCCACATGTGAAGGCTTGTATAATGCAATTGCAGAGGTAGGCTGGCCGAGGGCGTTTGCTCGTTCGCTGTAGCATAGGTATGCATGGTTAAACGCCAAAGTGAACCCGAACGTCGTTCATCCCTGGGGCGTTGATCTCCCAGGAATCAGAACGTACGCCGGTTGACTAGGACGTGATATTCCAAGCATAAATAAATCTCAATCAATCCTAGTCCCTTCTTTCAAAGACAACCAAGAATGTATAAGACAAAATGCTTTTAAAAGAAGGCGCGGGTCAACATAAGTTCACTTATCATCTGAAATCAACCTGTATACAATACACTCATGCATCCGAGAAAAGTGTCCGTCGACTTGACTTCAAACAACAATTATCAACAAAAGATCAAGGCATAACCTATACACAATGTGACGCTCAAATGACGTCTGACTAAAGTATCTTCACTCTGCCTGCCAGACGGCTGGACTTTCACGACTTTTTCGACTCGATGAGATGTGTTGCCAAGTTCTTTCATACCAAACTGACTGTTATGGGCGTCCCAACTCTCAAGTAAAGTTAGGATGCGATTGCTTTAATGATGACATCACTACCTTCCTAACTTTGGTGTGAATGTCATTTGCAAGTAATCCGGCTACCACTATATAAGTCAGTATTCGACTTGAACAATCGAACACTAAATGCCCCATTAAAGACAAGGATCCGCTTTCAAATTTTGTTGGTTGCTTTGTCCTTCTGGCCCTCGTTGACC